TTTTTTTTTCTTTTCAATCATGCGATTTCCTGCCGTAGTAGCGGTGTACAGGTTCTAAATAACGTATTCATTAAGTGAAACTCATTTAATGTCATATAGAACGATACTTTAATAAACTATTAGAGTTACCAGAAAGTATTTATATTTATGTTTTTATTATAAATATATTTCGAATAAAAATAATTTATAATAATTAAAATATATTCGATCAATGTATGGTATAATTAATTATCGTTATGATTTTATTAATCAACATAAGATTTCAATTAATTGAGAAATACATTGACGTATTTAATCAACGTGGATGGGTTGAAAAGTTTTGAGCTTAACATAAAAACAATTCTTTTTTTCTTTTTTATCATTTTTCGATATGGTATTAAAACTATATCTTGTAGAATAAAAAATAAGATTAAAACTTTTTGGTATTTCTAATATAAAAGAAAAAAATGTTGCTAAAACTTTTTATTTATTATTTTTGTGTATATTTGTTTTTTATGAAAATAGATCCACATAGTATACAATGCTGTACGAACGATGGTTATTTAATACACAAAGGAATAGCCGATCCGAGATGTTACCCCATCATTATACCCTTTAATGATCCATACATCAAGACACTTCAATGTATGAGCTTTGTTCGTAGTATTACTGATCTTGACCGTCGTTGCAACTTACGAAACAAACCCGCTGTAGAACAGGTTCGTTACTTTCTCATGTAATATCCTTTTGTAACTTCTTATAGATCTATTGCGTTAGTATTCTTCGATCAGAGAAAACTAATACATGGTAGCACCAATTTTCAAAAATTTTCACTTTAATTTAGCAATTGTTTTAATATTAAATTATTACAGACAAAATAATATTGTGTGGTAATAGATTATCAATTAAAATTTTAAATGTAATCTTTATTACTCATCGTTATATGATAAATCGATTTATTATGAATACATTTTACGTATTATAGTTGACTTCTGTTACACATTATTTGGATCTTTCAATCGTTTATGGATCAACCAATCAAGTTGCAAACAATGTTCGTGCCAGAATTGCTGGACGTTTGCGGGTAGATATCCGTGGTAATAGGGAATGGCTTCCAGCTGCGCAAAACAAATCGGCAATTTGTAATATCGATTCTCAGGATGAAGTATGTTACGCAGCTGGTAATGTCTTTTTTATATTTTTATTATTTTACTTATCTCAAATAACAAACAAATAATTTTTATTTGTACGATCGAATAGATCATAATGTTGCATTAAACACAATGATTTTTCAAATTTGTTTTACGTTTAATAACAAATAAATTAAATTTATTGAAATATAATTGAAATTTCGAGATAGATGCTTTATATGTAAAAATTTAAATTATTTATACAAATATTAAATATTAATCCTAAAAATCGTTTCGTGCAATAACGAAAATAAAATGTTGCTTATGTGCCTGTTTACGTACTGTCGGTACGAAAATTTATTATATAAATATTTTATGTACTGCAATATTATGAACTAAATGAAGATTTCTAATTTATAGACACTATATGAAGTAATGCTTATTTTCAGGAGTAATATAATATATTATATTTTTAAAATGAATAATTTTAGGAAAAAAGAAATTAATAGTTAAATAACACAACGAACGCATTTCATCATTTTATTCTTCTCACGTTACTTATTACTTAATAAAATTAAATTTTGTTTTTGTAGGTGATACTCGTGTAAATCAAAATACCGAATTAACGGTATTGCAAATATTGTTTCTCAGAGAACACAATCGTATAGCGGGCATACTTGCACGTTTAAATCCTCATTGGTCAGATGAAATGATTTATCAAGAAACCAGGCGTATTCTTATTGCCAAACATCAACATATATCATATTACGAATGGTTACCATTGTTCCTTGGTATGAATTATTATTCTTTTTTTTTTTTTTTTATTAAAACTTTTTAATCTTTTTCTATTTTCTTTGACATAATATAACATATATTATAATAAGTTATTATACATATATATATATAGGTGAAAAACAGACCTACGATGGTAAAATACTTTACGATACGGACGATTATGTTAACGATTATAATCCCCATGTTGATCCAAGTGTTCTTAATGAACATTCTACTGCCGCATTTAGATATTTCCATTCTCTTATTGCTGGCCATCTCAAGTTAGTATTTAACCAATCGATTTATATCAATGTTACATCCCCTTCCTTCAAACTGATCACATTATTCTTCTAATCAAAAATTATTTCATTTTTATTCATACATATTAGACTAATAAACGAAGAAAGACATTCAGTTTCACAACCATTAAGACTCAGCGATTATAATAATAAACCTGCCGTTATCGAACGTGATGATAATTTGGATAAACTTACCAGAGGTTTGTCGTGTCAACACGAATTAGCCAGTGATCAATTTTTCGACGAAGAAGTATATATCTCTATTATATCTTTTTTATTAATTTATTATATTTCTTACAAAAAAAGAAAAAAAAAATTAACGATATTAATCTTACGATTTATTTTATGAAATATATAATGTTTTTGTTTTTTTTTTTTTGTAATTTCTTCATTTACTTCATTGTTATAATTTTATGTAATTTCTCGCATGTTATTTTAGATAACGTTATACTTGTTTAAACGTAAAGAACAATTTGGCATAGACTTACGTGCCACGGATATACAAAGAAATCGTGATCATGGGCTAGCATCGTATAATGATTTTCGTGAATATTGTCATTTGAAAAAAGCCAAACATTGGAATGATTTCAGCGACTACATATCTCCTGAAGTATGAAGAAATTTGTATTCATTGAAATTATTCTCTTCAAAATAATATATTAGATTTTAATTATTATTCAAATATTTGCTTCTTTGTAGAATATTAAAAAATTAGCGAGTTTGTATTCTTACCCTGATGACGTAGAATTAACTGTTGGTGGTGCTTTGGAAGAACACGTGCCAGGAACTCTTGCTGGTCCAACCTTCCTTTGCATTCTTCTCAGACAATTTTATCGAACGCGAGTTGGTGATCGATTCTGGTACGAAACTGGTGATCATGAATTGGCATTTACCAGAGGTCAGTATTAAATATATAATAATATAAATATTTCACTAAAAATACAATTTATTTCTAATCTGTCAAGTATTCGTGTTCAATAGGTATTTAAAAAATTAAATAATAAACTGTAATGCTTTTAGAACAATTGAGAGAAATAAGAAAATCAACTATATCCAAATTATTCTGTAATAATGGTGATAATATTAAATTGATGCAACCCAAAGGATTTGAAATTATTTCCGAATCGTAAGTATGAAATTTATGTTTCTTGTGTGAGTATCAGAACGAATACATTCTTCTTCCTAATTCTATTCGTCTTTCAGAAATCCACTTGTTGATTGTAACGATCTTCCTGACATGGATCTATCATTATGGAAAGATTACGCGCCAGAAATTAAGAAGAATAATTATAAACCTATTTTTGTATATTATAAAAAATGAATTAAACGATTGGACAATTTATTTTAAGTAAAACCATCATCACTTAATGGCCAAATTTCCTTTATTGATTATTAAAGTGATATTGTAGATGATATTAAATAAATTTGTATATAAATGAAAAAAAAAATATATATATATATATGTATATATATATATATGTATATATATATATATATA